AAATATATTTTTTACTTAGTAAGTATATAGCTAAAATTAATATTCAAAATTTTATTAAAAAATTTAAATATTAAAAATCTTCGCAAGCAAATTTGCCTGTGTTACAATTTAAGGGATAGCTTGTTTTAAAAAGGAGAGCATGTAGAACAAACTTGTTCTAAGTTTGAATATAGGTTTAGAAGCTAGTTTTGGCATAAATAGCAAAAGAAGCCTATTTGGCCTAAAAGGCCATTGTTTAATAAGTTTTGGGCCGGTTTAATTAAAATTTTAACACTATATATAATTTTGTATAGAGAATAACTTTTATTAAAGCAAGAAGATAGTTTGTTTTAATAAATTATTATAAAAATAAATTTTTTAGTTGTGTAGATTTAGATAAATTTTTGTATAAGTAATAAACAGGAAAAAGTTTTTTTTTATTTGCCAAAAGTTTTTTATTTTAATTTTATAAATATATATAATTAAATAAAAAAAAAAAAAATTTGATCTGAGGGTTTATAGCATAGTGGTTTATATTTCTAGATTACCAATTATAAGATTGTAGATTTGAATCTAGACAGAAAATTTGAATTTTATTAGAATTATGATTGAAGATTTGATAAGCATAGCCCACCAGAATTATAATACAAGATCCTTGTTGGCCCAGTTAAGGTATATAGTATAATATCTTGAATCAGGGCAAAGTGTATAACTTAAGCCCAAATTATAACTATACAAAATCTTTAGTATAGCAGCTTATTGGAGGCCAAGCTAAGTAAAACTATAAGTATAACAAGATGAAGTAGAGCATGAGAATTCAAAAAATTTGAATTATGATTATACAGAAATATAGTACAGCAGCTTGTTGGAATTACAAGTTAAATGGAACTAAAATATGAAACCTGAGAAACTAGCAAGTATAGTGGTTTGAATTGAGATGAGCTTTGTAAATGTAATACAGTTGGGTGCCAGAGTGTTGGGTGTGAAATTATACCAGTGAAAAATATAATGATATTAGGAAGATAAAAATCCAAAGATTTTCTGTATTTGGAATACTTCTAATAAAATTCCGGATGATTAGTCACAAAATAATATACAGTCTAACCTCTCTATAGTCATACCCTTGGTTCCAAGAAATTCTGTACTTATAAGCAATTGTGTTTATATAGAGGTCAAATTTCTTATGTTTTATATAAGTTTGTTCTAAAAATTAGTGTGCTTATAAAGAGGGTGTAACTGTATAGAGAGCAGACTATATATATAATTATGTAATCAACTTTAATAAAGTAAATAAAAAAAAAATGTCAATAGTGTCTTTTAGTGATTTAGTAATCTTGCTATAGAGTATAAAACTAAAAAATAAAAATAAAAAAATTTTGACCAAATTTAATTAAATAAATACCAAGTAATTTTTATTCAAAATCTTAATAACTTTAAAAAAAACTAATTTTTTTTTTAGCTTTTAACAACTAACTATTCAAATTTGATTAAAGAGTTTTAATATAAATTATAAGAAAAGGGCTATAAGATGGTAGCTGTTATTTAGAGATAGTTCTTATATGCTACCTGCTAATAGTTTTAGAGTTTATTACTTACTGCAAGTATAGCACTTGTCATTAAGAAGTATTTCTTATATACTACTTGCTGACAAGCCCAGAGTTTATCACTTACCAAAAAGATTTAGTATTGTACAAACTCTAATGAAAAGTTGATCTTATTAAATGAAAATTCATACTCTTTTAAATAGTCTCAAGTTTTCTTTCTCTTTCTCACTATTCATCATCTTATTAATATTTTTGAAAAATATGGGCATTCCAGCTTACCTTCTTCAAAAGATTAGTATTGTTTATATCCGCCTAATTCGGATAAATACAATCACATGTTTGTTTTGTTTATCAATATAGTGCTATGATATAAAAAAAAGACCGATGCCCCATTTAGGAGATACCTGATTATAGTCACATATTCAGAACAAGTCCTTAACAATAAAACAAAGCTTTACAATTAAAATATATTGATTAGTTGCAATTAGTATATAATTTTTTAATACTTGACATGGGCTTTAATAGTGTATTTTGTTCTTTTATTTGTATGTTAAGACTACATAGCTCTTTTTTTTGCTTTTTTTATCTTCGTTCATTTATGATAGAACTATATTTAGAACATATTTTTTTCATATATATATTTTTTTCTTTTTGTTTTTTTCTTTAGAGATGTTAATGATTCAGTCCTAAACTAATAAAACTGTAATTTAAAACCAAACTATTATAAAACTAACCTATTATAAGATTGGATTATTATAAATTAGATTGTTATAAAATTAGATCATTATAAAATTAGATTATTTTAAAATTGAACTTGTTAGACTAATTTAATTTTTATGTACCTCTTGTATATTTTTATGCACTCCTTACATTATTATGCATAATTATGCATAACTATACATAAATCTGCATAATAATACAAGGAGTGCATAAAAATATGCAAGGAGTACATAAAAAATTATAGTTTAATTCAGTTATTTTTATATTAGTTCTAGTTTAATTTAATTTTTTTATATTTGATTCTAGTTTAATTTAATTTGGTCTAGTTTTAATTTAATTTTTAAAGTTGAATCAACCATTAACATTTCTATTTCTCTTTCTTTTTCTAAATTTTGTTTTTCTTTCATAGATGTGGCATATATTTTCTTCCTTTATAGAAAAGTAAGAAATAAACTATTTTGCCCAAAACTAGGTAAAAAAAAGTTTTAAAGAAAGGATGATAGTTTTGATAGGCTAGTGGGGCCTTCTGTTGATATTTTATTTCACTTCAATTGCAGGAGAGAATATTATGAAGAAAAACTCTGCTTATAACAGGTTGCATATAGGTAATTTGGACTTTGGTCGCAAAAAGCTGAGTGAGCTTTTATTTGTAACTTAGATGGTGTAAAGATTTATCCTTTTCATAAAATATAATATTTCTTAGTATAATATTATACAATCTAATAAAATAAAAGCAAGACTGCCAAACTGATCAAAAAAAAATTTTATGAATTTAAATAATTGGTTGTCAAGCAATTCTTGTTTAAAGTTTAAAAAAAAAAAATTTATCTAACTTTAGTATTTTTAAAAATATTTAGTGTTTTTAAAACTTTAGTGATAATTTTAATTCTACAAAACTATATTTAAAATAAAAAAAAATTTGATAAAGTAGTCATTGAAAAAACATTTTCTTCCATATGTAACACAAACGATCGGTAACAGGCACACAATTCAGGCACGTATATATATATGCATATATAGTTTAAATTTTGAAAACCAGAAAATTAACTTTGCATGGCCTAACTGATAACCGAATTTGGGCATAATTTTGGGGCATCACGTGATGTGTGCGGCTTACGTATAACGATAAGCGAAAAGAAAAGTTTTATCATTGTCGAAATGTCGCAACAAATTGATGCGAGGCAACGTTCGTATGTGCATTACTATTGTCCCTGCCCCGATGTGTCCATATCTAATAATACGGAAGAAGAGGAAGAGGAAGATATCGTAGAGTCTATTCCTGAATTTGACGTTAACTCTCCCCGCGTTCAGTTTTCTACTTTCTCTATGTCAAAATTATATTTTTGTGATGATTGCCACCAAATACGTTGTCCGAGATGTGTACAGGAAGAAATAGTTTGTTATTATTGTCCAAACTGTTTGTTCGAAGTGCCAACTGCTAGTGTAAAAAGTGAGAGAAATAGGTAAATTATTAGTAGTAGTGATTTATTTGGGGCTTAAAAGTAGCTAATGAGAAGCATCAATCTTTAAAAAAAAACTTCAGAACTTGATAACTTTATACGAGTTTACTAAAACCATGTAATACTATCAGGTGTGCTCGAAATTGTTTTCAGTGTCCTATATGTCAAAATACACTTTCAGTTGTAGCTTCCACTGAACCCCCACCACCGCAAACCTCTGCCCCTTCTAACTCCTCCGCATCAACAACAAGTGGTGCTCCTTATTATCTTTCATGTGGTGTTTGTCGCTGGGACTCTCAAGAAATAGGGATGACTTTTGAAAAGGCAACTGGATTAGCCTGTAATTATTTTTCAATAATAAACCCTTGATTTTTCGTAATTTGCAATTTGCTCAATATAATTTAATTCAATTTGATATTAGTACAACTTCAAAAAACTGAAGATGAAAGACCTGATGTTAAAGAGTTTGATCATCTCAAAGATCATTTTGAAAAGCATTTACGTCTCAGTGCTCCATCTACTACACTTCCTTCTTCATTGTTGTCGATCCCAGGAATAAGCGGTTTCAGTAATCGATATGGTGGTAGTGGATTTACTCATCCGCAACAAAAGTCTGATGATGTTGCAAAATATGATGCTATTGTAAAAGTTGAAAGTGATGATAGTTTAGTTCATGATTTAGTTCAATTGAAAGATGTCAATCAGAGTATGTATTAAATTATTAAATAATTTATATCTATTGTCATTAAATCATTAATCACCAACTTGATTTTATGTTAACAGTTACCACATTGACACAGAGAATGAATCAACTTAGTGACCAACCTTACAAAGTGGAGTGAGTGTATAAATAAATCGATAATACTGTATACTGTATTTTATTATCGTTTAATTCATTAATAATTTTTAATTATATGGCAGGCGGCTTCAACCTCAACGCATACATCTTCGCACAAAACGCGTGAAACGATGTCGTTCATGTCGTCATATTCTTATCAAACCTGAGCAAAAAGCTCAAGCTACAAGATTTAAGATTAAACTTGTTGCCTTGTATGTCTTATTTTAAATGATTAATTTATACATATTATGTATTTACTTATTTATTTGTTTGTTTTTTTATTATGAATTAATTTATTATTTATTCAAAATTTTATTTAATACAGAAATTATATCCCAAAGATTACTATAACAAGTTTACCAAAACTTATTCTCAACCAATGTACACGAATCGTGCTAAAATTTGCTAATCCGTTATACGAGGAAATCATAGTTGATTTGGCATTGAAAGATGAAACTACTGAATATGCCAAGGTTCATTTACATTTTTTAATAAGACATAATTTAGTTGTTACAATATTTTAACCATTTTTGTTATCATAGATTACATTACTTGCCCCACATTTCAATATAACTCCTTACAATGAAGTTTGGGAATATGATGAACAAGATCTTATTTCTTCAAAAGGTCGCCCACTTTCAATTACAAGTGCTCCAAAGGTTGATTCTGGTATTTACGAAAGGCGTGGCAATTATACGAGTGTTTTGGTTGAAATAACACCATTGGCCGAAGTCGATGAACTTAAAGTTTGTAAAATTTATTATAACCTTTATTTTTTTATTACAAAATTGTTCACGTTTTTTTTTTTTTTTTTATAGTTCCCTCTTTTGGTAACTTATGCAAGCAAAGTTAACGATAATGATAATAATGAGACTTCTGGGGATGCACCAGTTAACGATTCATCAACTGCTGCAGAGACAGCATCATCTGATAAACCGGACGCTGATGCTGATAAACCGAACACTGATACTGATAAGCCGAGCACTGATGCTGATAAATCGAATACTGACGCTGATAAATCGAAGTCTGATGACAATAAAGGTGATTCTACATCATCTACTCCAAATACAAAAAGCTTATTCTTTTGGACCGTTATTGGATTGGGGCCTGTGGTTAGTCAGGTTGCAGCTAAACCCCCAGCATCTACTCGACCTTCTCTTACTAGTAATAATAGCAATGTTACACCCACTCGTACCAATGTCAAATAATGGAAGGATTTAAATGTCAAAAGTGTTAGTAATGTTCAAAATGATACAGATATATAAATCATTTAATGATACTCTGATAATTACCTAAGACGAATAATTTTCTGATTAATCTGTTTAATAGGGTGTGAATGCTACATATTTATTTTAAACATATCATTTTACATCAATAAATTATTTAGTTTACAATTTGACTCTTTTTTTTACCATCTATTTTTGATCTTTCCTGTATCAAATGTTACGTTTATGTGGTTTATTCAAATTGCAAGTTCCACTATTTGTTTATGTCGCAGAGTTTTGCCTATAAGACTGTTTTTGCAACTGCTTTGGCTTCACGAAATTAATTTCCTGGGAGCTTAAAATTACAACAGAGATTCTCGATGAACATAGGATACAGACGGCCCGAAGGGCCGTCTGTATCATATGATCATCGGAATCTCTGTTGTGATTTTTAACTCCTCACAGGAAATTCATGAATAATACCCTGCCTTACGTTGTTCATGCCTACCTTTATTATAATTTTTCGTGGGATTATTTATGACCGGGAATCTTCCCATGGAAGATTCCTGGTCATGATATGATCTCGTGGGAAATTATAATGAAGGTAGGCATGAACAACAAATAGTAAGGCAGGGCATTAATATCAAAATATTTCTATAAAAAATAATAACTTAGTAAGATAATTAATGTCACGACTGAGGCTGGAATTTGGATATCATAAATCATTCCGATACTAAAATCCACTTAAGTATTCAACTGGACAATGCATTTATACAGAATAACAAGCTATAGGTAGATTCAAAGATTCTCGCGAATCATTTGGATATTAGATTATATACGTATCTGCATTGAGAAATTTGATTAGAAAATGATGAATCGCTATCGTTATAATTCATTTTAGCTAATTAAAGTTATTACTATATTAGAACCTGATAATTTTCTGGCCCCCTCTCAAAAATCAGATAATAAATGGTGCTCCTCTAACTTATCTTCTTATTGATAAACTTAGATAATACTTCTATAAAAATTGGTTTTCTTTGTAATTTTACTAAGAATAGTTTAAAGTTAAGGTTAGAGTAGAATAATAAAGTTTTTATTAGTAATATTTTACAAGAAGCATTTTTAATTAGATTATAAACAAATAAATTGAACTTCTTCTAACAATCTCTTGCATCAAAAATTTTAGAAAAAATCTAACTCACAAAAATATAAAAATAAAGACTTTTACTAAAACGCACCTATGGTGTAAAACACCATAGGTCCTGTTTCTCAAAAATGTACTAAGTAAACAGGATTGGGTCCTCTAAGTAAAAATGTTCAGGATCCCAAAAACCTTCAAGAACCAAGATCGGGCCCTTATATTAGCTCTGTATTATATTATCCAAGATCGGGCCCTTATATTTGCTCTATATTTTTTTTTTAAACTTTCGGCAGTCATGTCTTCACTTTATTAGGTATAAATAAACAAACTACACAGTCTATTAATTTTACTAAACCAATTGGCCCAGTTATCTAAATTACAAGTGTTAGCTAACCCGGTTGTTCTCAGCAAATATCTATATTTGACCTGCTATAGTAGAGTTTATCTTTTTACTTATTGACTTTGCAAACAAGACAACAAGAATATTAATAAATGGTTTCTACGGCCTGTCATAACTACAATTCCTTTAAATCCCTCCTCTTCTAATTATCAAGCAAGAGGATTCTATAATCCTTGCCTAAAGAACAACAAGTAACTAAAAAAAAACTAACCTAAAAAAGGATAGTAAAAAAAAAGAGGGGAAGCTACAAAATCTAAGTAAAAAACTAAAAAAACAAAATAAAAAATAAAAAAAAAACAAAAAGAAAAGAAGGACAAAGAAAATTTGTACCAATGCAGGGCTTAAAAAATTATTTAATACTTTATAAAACAATCTCTACCTTTGCTTTACTTCAGTATTAAAATAGTTTAATAAAGTAAAAAGTACAAAATTTTTCTTGTTTTACGCTACAGATCCGTTACATGTCATTCACCATTGGTCAGGCATGTAGTAGCGTGATTTTCTCGTAACTTGCCATTCCTGATTTGGCTGTGTAAACAATGTCAATCTTTTGTAGAAGGTATGCCGAATTCTTACATTTTGGAAAAAATTTCGAGAGAAACACCAAAAACCCCAGCAAGAATATGAAAAGAGGTTTTTGAAGTCAGGTACTTTCAAGATTTCAAAGGAGTGTGTTGAAGTATAAAACTATTGTTGTTTCCCCTGTGTTTTTGTTAACAGCCTAGTGAGCTTTGTCGACAAAAAAGACTTTTGTCCCTTCACCAAGATTTTTTATACAAGGGTACTACCTGCCAGTTATCTTGTATAATAACACTTTGGTTTGCATGCCGAACGTCTTTAGAGAAGTCCTGCAAAAACAAAACGTTAACCTCTAGACAAACTGCTTTATAAACCACAACTCTTCAACAAAAGTTATGTTTTTCTTTGGCAGAAATTTTGGTACAAGTGATCGTTGTGAAGAGTTAGTGCTTTTAATTTTTAAATTAAAAAATCTTAATAGCTAATTAATTAAACTGCTCAAAATTTTTTTATTTTAATTTTGAAATTATAAAAAATTAAAATAAAAAAAATTATTAAATTTGATAAAATAGTTGCTAAAATATTTAAACTTAAAGTCAATGAAACTTTTATTTAAAAAATTATTAGCCAAAAAATAAAAGCTAGCTAGTTTGCTAAAATAAAAGGATAGTTTAAAAAACTCTATAAACTAAAAGGTTAAAAAAAATACAAAATACAAAAAAGGTTAAATATATTTGCTTTAAGTTTCAATTTTAGCAAAGTGTTCTCAAATAATTTAAAAAAAATAGTTTATATATAAAGCCAAAAGAGAACAATATTATTTAAAAACAAAATAAATTGGGAAGGCAGTACTGCTATACCAATCTGGTGTGTAGCACTATAGTTGTATCTTAGTATTTAAGAGATGTTGTATATAGTATTATATTCTAATTAAGATAAAAAAGTAACAGTATTAGATATAAAAATACAGGCTAGGGCAGCCAGAGGATTTAAATAAATAGTTTTAGTTTGGGTTGCAAGTACAAGTATCTAGTGTATATAATACCAAAAATATAGTAAATAGCTATATTCACTAAACTGAATAGTATATAGGAAATTGTTAATATATAAATAAATATTTTAATTGTATAACATAATTAATAATAATGAAAAATATTGTTATGTCTCTAATATCTTAGTAAAAAAAAAAAATAAAATAAAATACAGAATCAGTATAAAAAAAAATTTATTAAATTTGGTTTAATAATTATTAAGATATTTCAATTTAAATTTTATTTAAAAAAAATTTGCCAGTTGACTAATCAACTCTTCCCGACGATCCTTTTTACCACAAAAAAATCCAAAATTCTAAAAAAAATATAAGCATCTATAAAGGTTGAAACTAGGGACTTCAGTGCGATGCGAAATAAAATGCAAATTATGCGATGCAATTGGTTCAAATTATGCCCCAATGCGAATACTCTCAAAATTATGCAAAATAATCATAAATTATGCATTTTTTTTTTAAAACAACCAATAGTTTTTATTTATTTGTTAAATTTTAAAAAATTTAACATGCCAATTGAATTTTCAGACAAATTTTGTCTGTTATCAGCTAAAATTCTATTATATGCTGAAAAGCTACGTTCGACATCTACACCAGAGATTGGCAACCAAATATAAATTAATGCTAATTTAGATAAATTCGGCAA